ATATATATATATATATATATATATATATATATATAATTTATTTTATGTTAAAAAACGGGAATAAAATAGTGATATACAAGAGATATTTCCCCAAAACAGTGTAGGGGTGCCAAAACTTTTGACCACTGGACGATGTAAAAAAATAAATAAATAAATAATATATTTCATTCATTTTGGAATTATTGCACAAATATTAAGTCATCACAACATTAGTTAGATAGTTGTTTCTGGGTTTTGTTAGTCCCAATTGATAAATCCCTTAATATACAACTTGTCATATATATCATTCATTTTTGGTGGGTGCTCCTAAATTTTTTCTGGTGCTCCTAAATATTTCAGGTTGGGAGCACCGGTGCTACCAAGTAAGAAAGTCGATTTCGAGCCCTGACTGGGGTGTTAGGACCCACACAGTAGAGGTCTGCATATAAATAAATTTCCGAATAAAGCGCGTGAGCAGGGCCGGCGCGTCCATAGAGGCGACCTAGGCGGCCGCCTAGGGCGGCAGAATACAGAGGGCGGCATCCCCGACACAACCCTCACCCCTCACCACCCGTGCCCTCAGTTATATCCGCGTCTAGGTCGGCGTCTGCGACACTGCCCTCACCACCCGTGCCCTCAGTTATATCTGCGTCTAGGTCGGCGTCTGCGACACTGCCCTCACCACCCGCGCCCTCAGTTATATCCGCGTCTAGGGCAGCAAAATAAAGAGGGCAGCGGCGTCCGCGACAGCTCCCTCCACACCCCCCCTCTCTTTCACTTTAGGGTTGAGGGCGGCATAACCGTCCTTTGCCTAGAGCGGCAGTTCAGCTTGCTCCGGCCCTGCGCGGGAGTGGTCGGTAACGGGTTTAATTTTGGACGGGAGCGGGCAGTTCAACAATATCGCTCCCGACTCCCCACTCCCGAGCGAGTGAGCATGCGTATGTATGTGTGTGAAAGAGACAGCTTGATGCTGCGTTTAGCTTGTTTGTTGCTGTCTATGTGTGCGTGCGAATGAGAGAGAGAGAGAGCTTGTGCTCTCTCTCTCTGTGTGTGTGCATGAAAGAGAGAGCGAGACGCTGTCTGTGTGTGTGTGTCACTTGCTTGTGCTTGTGTGTGTTTATACAGACAGCGTGTTATACGCTGTCTGTACTCTATAGCTGGGTGGTTTTCAGTTTTGTTCTCCCCCCAGTCCATTAGCGGGAACGGGTGCGGCGGGTAGAAAACGGAGCGGCGGGACAACAAATGCTGAAAATAAGCGGGAGTGGTCGGGTTCGGGCTAAAACCTGGCGGGTGCGGGATTCAAAATTTAGTCCCACGCAGATCTCTACCACACAGCTGCAGGTTGAGCACCCCCTGCTGGTCTCACTAACACCACTGCCAGCAGCAACTTAGCTTTCCCATGTGGTCTTCTACTTAGTTTCAGTGGCGACCATGTGAGAGTTGCAGGCATAAGTAAGTCTATTTAATCCAGTCAGACTTTTTAAAAAGAAAGAATATTTTTACTCGGTGCTACATCTTATTGCGATATTAGTTGCGAGTGTTTCTGCTTCCAGACGGTGGTGTGTTTAAATCAAACTAAGCGCGATGTAAATTCCAATTCCATGCCAGATGTTTACTTGCTAACAGCAAGTCATTCTGAGATGTATGTATTCCTTTTAACAGCAGCCTTCTCACATGAAACAGAATCTCAAAATGAGAAACTACAAGTCTAATTTAATAGTGCCAAAATACTAAATGTGAGGGAATCACGGGGGACTGCGTGCTCGAGATCGATACGAGCTATTCGAGAAGCACGCGAGTGGCAGGACCGCTCCAACGCAACTTCATTTCGAATGAGAAATGTGGTCTCATCCATCGCAGGAGCCCGGCTCTCTGTGGAATAACAAAACCAGGCTTAATTCACACAGGCCGGGGACTCGCTCACTACTTAGGTAGCATAAAAGCGATGCATCATTACCCCTTGTTGTCCTGTCACTTGAAATTACAGCAACATCAGTCTTGTTGAAAGGCCCTGCCTCATTTCAATATAAATGAAACAAATAGCTTTTAACGCGATCCTTTAATGAGGTTCTCGTTGGATTCTTCGCCGCTATCTGAGGTAAAGCTCCTCTCCTGTGAAGTGCATTGTCACAGCCGTGTGTAATTTGCTCTCCCATGGGACTGTGGGAAGGATGGTGCATGGTTTGGATTGGATCAGGTTGGCTCAATGCAGGCCCGGTGTGAGTTCTCTCCACACAATCCGCAGCGCTGAGCTTTGACAGGCCCCTGCAGCAAACCATTCATCATATTTTGATGCCCATATACTCGTGGTGAATGTAGGTAAGCAGAAGCCGCGAAGGGTTTGCGACAGGAGCTGGAACGCTTAAAGGGTTGATTGGGTGGTAATTAAAATGGATGTGTGGTGTGGATCACGCTGAGGACTGCATATCAAGCATATAACCATGCGCATATTAACTCCCTTTGGCGTATGTATTGTGTATTAAGAATGATTTCTATAAGGCTATGAGGTGGAATTAAAAACAAATATTTATATATATATATATATATACAAGGTTCAACGCTAAGGATTTTTTCTACTGGCCCAATCGGACCAGTGGTTCAGATTTTTACTTGCCCTGCCAATATTTTCACTGGCCCCACCAAAAAAAAAAAATTAAAGCTATTTCTTATCCACAAATAAAGCAAAAACGTGTCAAAATGTTTGTAAATCTAATTCAAAGTGTTTTGAAATAAAAGATGGCTAAAGACCGGCCAAACTGACGGCAAACTGTACATCACTTAATTTTTTTAGTCATGGTGTACGCTCGTATATGTCTGCTTCCAAGACGTTAGAAACAAATGTTTTCCTTTAGCATCATCATTTGATGTTACTGCCATGTTGCTGTCTCTTCGCTGTTCTAAAAACATGCTCACAACATCCAATCAGATAAGAAGAACCAAGAAGGTAGCATTTGAAGGCTTGAAACCACAAACTGTTTCTCAATTCTTAAACTGTATTTGCATGCAATTGACAAATAGTCACAGGCAAATTAAACTTTAGTGACAAGGCAGCAGTGGCCCGATCGGGCCAGTAACGATCCTGTCTACTGTCAAAATCATTTTATGAAGTTTATTCATAAACTAATTTCGAGAGGATCACGTGCTTATGATTTATCACGGCTGGTCTCGTATTTGCTAATCACTATCTTCCAATCATATGAACCATAAGCTACTATAAATAACCACAGTTTTCAGTTAATTTTATCTTCGTTTGGAAGACCCCCCGCCCCCCACCCCCCCACATTCTCCTCCTTTACCTCTGGTCGGGCAGCACGGCCACCCAGTGGTTAGCACTGTGAGCCCCACAGCAAGAACACTGCCAGCCGATGGGCGTTTCTGTGAGGAGTTTGTATGTTCTCCCCGTGTCCGCGTGGGATTTCCCCGGGTTCTCCGGTTTCCTCCCACCATCCAAAGACATTCAACACATATAACAATCAAGCATTTGTCTAACCCTTTCGTTTCCTTAGCTACCACAGCCGGGAAGTTCTGAGATCCACCGAGCTCAGGCTCCCCTCTCGCTCTGCCAACGGGAGGAAGCCCCGGGCTCGAGGATCCCTTGAGCACGGGGCTCTCTCCCAGAACAGCATGCCAAACAAGCTGTTATAGATCATCAGCTAGGTGTGAACTCTTGAAATGATGTTTAATAGAGCAAAGAATTTTTTCACAGTATTTCCTATAATATTTTTTCTTCTGGAGAAAGTCTTATTTGTTTTATTTCGGCTAGAATAAAAGTAGTTTTTAATTCTTGCAAAACCATTTTAAGGTCAATGTTATTAGCCCCCTTAAGCAATATTTTAGTCGATAGTCTACAGAACAAACCATCATTATACAATAACTTGCCTAATTACCCTAACTTGCCTAGGTAACCCAATTAAGCTTGTTAAAGCTTTTAAATGTCACTTTAAGCTGTATAGAAGTGTCTTGAATATATATATATATATATATATATATATATATATATATATATATATATATATATATATATATATATATATATATATATATATATATATATATATATATATATATATATATATATATATATATATATATATATATATATATATATATATATATATATATATATATATATATATATATATATATATATATATATATATATATATATATATATATATATATATATATATATATATATATATATATATATATATATATATATATATATATATATATATATATATATATATATATATATATATATATATATATATATATATATATATATATATATATATATATATATATATATATATATATATATATATATATATATATATATATATATATATATATATATATATATATATATATATATATATATATATATATATATATATATATATATATATATATATATATATATATATATATATATATATATATATATATATATATA